AGTGGTGGGCATTGGAGAGCACCATTGGAGATCTTCTCCTGGTGCCTCCCTAATCCTTGGAGTTTCTAGAGAGGGTGTAGCGGAGGCCAACAAAGATGATTAAGGACTGCAGACTCTCRTACAAGGAGTCCTCTGGAGCTCCCGCCTTTGAGGGCTTCCTGGGCTTGGGGGCTCTACAGCACCGGGGCCACGCTGGGCTCGGGGGGCTTGTGCACCTTTGGACGMCGCTACGCCGCTACGATCTCAGCATGGTGATCACTTGAAAACYGAGTTTGCTCTGGTTATTCAAGCTAGGGACACAAATTCCTGGCTATTCCTAGCTTGAGTTTTACTTGTTTGTGGGCTGTAAAGGCAGAATGGGTGTCAACTGGAGAGGATTCTTACAAAATCTTGACACTACTGCATTTAGGGCAATTTAAGAAAGGAAGAGTTAATGTATGGAGTCAGCTTAATGCGTATGGAAACTACAATGAGATCACTGCAATGATACCAAAAATTTAACTAGCTCATTAAGATCAAAGATTAAAGAAATCATGATGGTGTAACATGGACATCATGCTACATGATGAGTTTGGATAAAGCAATAATCACAGTGAACATGACAATATCATCACTGAAAGCTGTTAAACAATTTCTGGTAGGCAGACAAACACGACCTCCAGCAAAAAGTGAGTTTCTCTTCCTGCCGGAGTGGGATATATTTCTTGGGATAACAGGAAACCTGCAATATATTGCAAGCAACAGGTTTAATTGCTTTTTCTTCTTCTTTCTCACATGGGCTTACTTTAGAGTCAAAGTTACAGTACTGTAGAACTTATTACACTTAATTAGATACCTGTTTCTGGGCTTATCTAACTCTTCCTCAACTCCATTTACAGCAAGAGCACATAAGGTGCCTGCTTCTAGTTGAAACCTGTGAYATAAATCAAGGTATTCCCCTTAAACCACTGCTGCAGTTTAGAGCATAATGAGTCTAGTTCAAGACTAACTTAAACCAAGTGATATTTTCTAATTTTTTGACTCTTCTGCCTTTACTTGTTGTAAAATAGAGCAAGTGATTTCTACAGATTCTCCAGTGGGATCCAGCTTCAAGAGAAGGCAAGACAAATACTACATCAAAAGTTTGTTTTTCTTCTGCTTTAGARCTTCTGTTCTCAGCCATTTGTCCTCAGCCTCCTCTCTGAGCAAACCTCAGTCTCAGGCCACGTTAATGTGTTGGACAATACGCCCCGTTTAATCTCTTTTTCCCCAAATGTGTAATGACAGTTTAATTGGGATCCTTAAGGCATCAATAGCGTTGTGGGAACTTATGTTTGTTGAGCAATTTAAAAATCATTATCTTCCCTGTGTGTCAGCTGCTCTGGGTAATTGTTATTGCTCTGAGGATTTCTGGTGACACCTCAGAGGCCTTAAAATCACCTTGCAATTTAGCAGCCAATTACTACATAATTTCAGCATTCACAGATTGATAAGTAAGGCAAAGAAGGATCCTGCATGTTCTTTTTCCCTTTGCTTCGTTAGTCTGTTAGAGGTTTTTTCTCTTTGTTTTTCTATTTACTCTTCTTTGTTAGCAAATACTCCTTCCTTCCAGTCAAAGTGGCTGAGCAGAAAAAAAATAGATTTCTGAGTTTTTGTTTGTTTGTTTGTTTGTTTATTTCTTAATATATAATCAGGATATTCTGAAATCTCTCTTCCTCAGTCGTAGTCAGGAATAATTATTTGATGCTGTACTGAGGATATGGCTGTAGAAAACAAGGTTTAAGGACGGAGGAGATAAAATATTTCTCTCTTCATGGCTGGAGTTATCTCCTGTTGCAGTGTGATTTTTATAGGGATCTGCCTGGCACTGAACTTGCAGAGCAGCAAATCTTCCYCTGAGGAAAGGAAGGGAGGGGATAAAGACCAGACGCCTCCTCATGTGACACATGTCATGATTTTAATGAGAATGCAAAGCAGAAAGAGAAGCACAGGAAGCATAAGGTTCAGGGTTAATGAAACCAATCCTCCATCTAAAGATGATGGTTTATAGCAAGTCAAATTTCTTACTGCATCAGTCAAGAGAAAGGTGTTAAACCAGAAATACTAGAATTAAGACATATATAGGCCTGATCTTTAAAATTAGGCCRAGCTCCTGCAGCTGCAAGAGCTTAGGGAAAAACAGGGTGGTCAGCAAGCACGTGGCCATGGCCGTGGCCTCAGTCCTGCCCCTCTATGGTGCTTCCAAGCTTCTGCTCATGCCTTCCTTGGTGGTTCTAGCAGGGCCCGCAGCTGCCGCGACGGTTGTAGCGGCGGTATGGCCGTCCATAGAGGCCACCAAGCCCCGAATAGCCGAGGCTGCCTAAGCCCGAGGAACTGCCAGAAGAGATGGGAACCCCTCCAGTGCTGAGGGCATCTCCCACRGCTGCGGATGCKGAGGATCCCACGGCCGTGTTCTGCGGGAAGGAGCTGAGGATGGGTCCRGGCAGCGTCACCACCACAGGTGAGGGCTGGATCACATAGGTCGAGTCCTGGCACTGCCGCACGCAGGGCTCGTTGCAGCTGTTGGCCAGCGGTGTTGGGCCRCAWGGGGTGGGAGGACACAGATCATAGCAGGACATGTCTGTGAGATGGAGGTAAATCTGAAAAACAGAGAGGTAAATGCACAAAAGGAGTTGCAATTCTTGTCATATCGCTGTGCTTCTAAGATGCCGGGGAACAGGAGAAACTGAGTGTTGATTGCAGAGTCCAGGAACACCCTGAGTGCTTAGAAATAAGGAGCATAACTTGAAAAGTGTGACAGCAACTTGTTGTCCTCCCTGCAGGTGGGCTGATTTCTGAAGCAACAAAAATTCTACCCAACTCTTATACGATCTTCCCATATTCTTCAGCCTTATTTCCTATTCGATCAGTCTTATGCAGAAAGTAGCTTCATGCTCATCTCAGAAGCCAACCTTTTCCAAAGTTATTATATTAGCAAATAGCTTCCACCCTCTCTATACGAACTGAGTAACCCGTCTAAAAACGGTTTAAGAAATCTTTCATCCAGCACTCACTACCCTTCAAACACCAGCTGTTTTATGGAAACAGCTCCTTGCAAGTCTTTCTATACCCTGATAAAGAACATAAATCTATTACTATAGCAAAGAACATGTAAAAATAAAGTATGAAGAACGCAACAATTCGGGACATAGAAACACCGYGAGTAGATCGGACTTACCCTGTCCACCGAGGATGAGAAAGTAGAAATGGATAAGAGCTTCTCACACCACGGTGGCTTTTATACTGTGTCCTAGAGTGCCTGAGGACCTGAGACGTACTTTGTGCAGGGAGCTGTTTACTTTTTARAGGTTCTTGCATGTAAAATATCCCCAGCTGATGAGCTGCTTTTTCCTCACTGTCTGTATTTATTAACACATTTAAATTTCCTTGCTGTAATGCATACCTTCCACCACAGAAGTTTCTTTTATCTTAAAATCTTACGAGTCCAGTTAATTCCTGGCCAGCTGAGTTGCTGAAGAAATTGCTTTGAATCCTATGGAAAATGCAATGTGTGTCATGTCATTCAACATAGATGAGTACATACATTAAGTGAGAAGTATATGATTAAAAACTCCTCCCCATGACTTCCCAGTCCCCCTTTGGAGAGTGCAAGTGGTTGAGAAGCAGARGTCTGAAAAGGCCAGGAGTTGGTATTTTTGCTATTTTTGTATTTTTGCTATTTTGGTTGATATATCAAATTTCTTTCAAATAGCCAGACTACTGCATGAATGCCAAAACTCAAACTGACTCCAACAGCTCTTCCAGAGCCAACCGGACTAATTTGCTTTCCAGGGTCCCTCCCAGGAAGCTGGGCACCAGAGTCAATTGTTTTACTTCCTCGACTTGGGAGATGGAACTAAAGAGCATCAGGGCCCAATCTAATTGCTTAATCCAGGAAGGACTTTGAGATACAGGCTTTCAATTTAGAGACTGTGCTTTTCAGCTCCTTAATCGAAGGAGTGTGCCTTAGCTTTGGCTTTATCCCTTCATCTAACTCCAGGAAAATAWTTCGGGTCAGACTGAGGCTGCAGGAGAATTTTAGACGATGCAGAGACATCAGCACATCACATTCTGCCCAAGCTTACCTAAGATGTCATTAAATCACCAGATAATTTTAYGTTGCTTTACATTTGCTCAGAAGAATAGTAATTCTTCTGCCCTACTGTGTCTTTCATTATTATACAAAATTTTACTCTAAATTAATGTTAACTACCTACAGAAGTGCAAAGTACATATAATGATCATCGTCTTTTTTTCCCCTCTGTTGAAAGCGAATCATTTTATCTTCATTTTGCATGGTCTTAAACAACATTGCAATGTGTAACATTTCAATTTCTTTTTCAAAGACAATTTCTAGATTAAAAAGTAGTGAATGCAATACATAAACAGACTTTAGGGCAAGGGTTAGCACTCCAGTCTCCTTTCTGCAATTGTTTTAATCAGTTTTCTAGAGACATGCAAATTGTCTCTAAATTGTGAGTATATTCATGAAGATCTCCTGGGAAATAAATGTTGATTGTACACTTTTGAAGAACAAAGACCTTCAGAGTTCCCAACACATTTTCTTTAGTGGCTCAGACATGCAAATACTACATTATCGGGGGGGAAAAAAAAAAA